GAGGTGCAGTGGTGCTGATGTGCAGTGTTACAGAGGTGCAGTGGTGCTGAGGTGCAGAGGTGCTGAGGTGCAGTAGTGCAGAGGTGCTGAGGTACACAGCAGCTGCCCTGGAGTGGCTGTCAGGGGACTCCCCCTGGATCAGGCCACTGAGCCAGTGCAGATCCTGGCCTTGCTGGACATAAGGGAGGCTGCTACCATGGTGAAAATCCTGGGACCTGGGGAAGCTGGAATACTCCTGACCCTGAGCCCTGACCACCTGGCACCTGGCCGTCAGCTCATCCCCCTGGGGCTCCACCCCCATCCTTGATCCCAGGAACTGGAAGCCGACCATGACCTTCCACACCCAGGTGCTGCTTAATGCTGCTTCTCCCCTGGCTACTCCACACTGCGCCCCACTCCTCAGCCCACAGTGCCTTTCAGGGCATCCCTGTTACTGGGGACGAAGTCCTCTGTCCACTGAGCTTCCACTGCAGTGACAGTGGAAACCCGGCTCTCCCACGACAGCCCCACTTCTCCAGGAGCCCCTGGGGTGGGGGCTGCTGACTCTCCACACCCACGGACCCTGGGGCTGCAGGTGGAGTCAGGGCCACTCAGCCCTGCCTCGCGCTGAGCCCTCTCCACAGGGGCGCAAACAGCCTCCCATGCTGACAGCTTGCACCACGCCTCCATCCTGCTCTGACCGCCTGTTCTCACCCCAGCTTCACGTCTGCCACGACCTCGGCCCCATGACCCCACCTTGGTCACATCGGTAGTTTCCTGCTGCTCCCTGACCACAAACCTGGTTCTTTTTTACCCCGATGCTGCACCCTCCAGACCTGGCCACTTGTCCTGCCTAACCAGCCTAGACCCTGTCATCCATCCCTCAACCGTTCTCTTCTGTGCCGGCCACAGGAAGACCTCAGACCTTAGGCAATCTCAGCATCTATCTTTGCTCCTACACATGAGCTGCTAGCAATGCCAGGCTGACACTAGTCCTCCCAATGATGATGAGAGCTGACATTGCTTAGGGCTCACTATGTCCTTTTACGAGTCTCAACTCATTTAATCATTGTCAGGCCGTCCTCCTCTTCTCACTGGTGACACCTAGACTCCCTTCACATTCCAGCTGATGGAGCCACTTCCTGAGTAAATCCCAGGGCGAGGACAGGCCCCTCCTAAATGACCCTTTGGTACCTGTACTTACCCTATATGTCACTTATCCGAGGACTGTCTTCCCATACAACGGTAGCTCCACGAACATTGCAATCATGTCAGTTTTGCTCACTACTCTAAATCCAGCTCTGCCTGGCAAACGCTCAATAAATACTTGAATGAGTGAATTAAGTAGCATTTAACACATGATGTCTTTGGTTGGTTGCCCTAACTGTAAGCAACCTGGGCAGGGCCTGGGTCTTGTCCCCACCCTTCCCATAGCACTTTGCAGGGTGACAGAATGCAAACCACTGAGCAAGAGCTGACAGAAAGCTGTGGAATGAACGGGCATCTCAGCAGGCTCAGCTGTTTCTAGAGCGGACCCCAGGCTTGCCCCCCCCCACCCTCCATAGCCGAGCAGTGTCCCCGCCCTCTCCCCACTGCGGTCGGCCACATGCTGGGCCTCAGCACCCCCTCCCAGCCCACTAGCTCACCATCTTCAGGAGCATGTTGATCCCCAGGCGCGCAATCTTCCTCTTCAAGTCAGCGGGAATCCCTGCCTGCTGGTAACTGGACACGGGCACGCTCTCCTTCAAGGAAGATGAAGGAGGGATAGCTTTATGCCGCCGCGAGCCCAGCTCCTCACCCCACAGAACACACCTGTGTTGCCCTCCCATCGATTGGGAAGTAACCCAGAGTTGTTCCTTTCATAGAGTCCCTGAGAGTGTCACCCGCAGGTTGATTTTAACCTATTTACATTTCCCTTCCATAACACTTCTCAAAGGAAAACAAGTCCCATGGGGTTTATTAGAGAGGAAACCCACTGGCTCTGCCACCCACAGGTAAGGATGTTGTAATGTCATGGGGAGAGACAGGAGCAGACCCTGGAGAGCTAGTTTCTGGTCAAGAATCAGCCAACAGGGACAAGAATGAGCTCTGTGACCTTGAGCAGAAAAATGGAAAAAGAAAAAACGGGGAAGAGAGAAGAAAGGGGAGCTAGGGAATAAGCCTTTCATGTAGGTTATTTGTCAGAGCAGCCCATTGAGATCTTGCTATCTATCCCTCATGAACAAATAAAAGAACCAAAGCCCAGAGAGTTTAAGTAACTTGCTCAAGATCACGCAGCTGGCAAATTTAGGACACAGCGTCAAGTCCCTGGGTCTCATATTACCATGTTTACAAAGGAGGCTGGACCAGGCGACAGCTAAGGCCCATCACATGACACAGACACTTGTTGGGCACTTTCTCTGTGCAAACTCTAGCTGAGGGCACTTTGCACTCCATGCGTCACCGACTCGTGGGACAGCCCTGTGAGGCAGCAATGGTTGCCCCGCTGTCACATATGAGGAAACTGAAGTCACCCAGCAAATAAAAAGGCAGAGCAGGTTTTCAAATCCAGAAAGTCTGAGGCCACACCCAGGCTCTCGGCCACCTCACGGTGCTACTGCCCACCCCGGTGTCATACCCAAACTCCTCTCCCGTGAAATCACGTGCTCTGTCGCCTTTTGTCTTTTCAGATGAAAGCTTTCATGTGAAGCAGACACGGCCCCGCTGTTAGCGAACGCACACAGGTAAGTTCTGACTCTTACTTCATATGTTTCCACCAGAACATCCCTGGTGACAAAGGGATGCAGAGGGGTGGGAAATTTGACAGAATTCACGTTCAGGAAGTTGCACTGGAAGTGTTCCAGATTCCGGGCTTCGCAGCGCAGGTCGATCTACGGGGAAATGGAGAGAAAAGAGGTGGGGGTAGTCGGGGCACAGGGACGGCACTATCTGAGCTGCCAGAGCTAGCAAGTCACAAGGGTTGCCTGCCTCCCCTCCTGCCTCTCCCGTACAGCCCCCCAGGTGACACAGGAGGAGGCACGCTGTGACCAAAGGCCTCCCCACAAGTCCTGAGCCTCCTCCTGACGCTTCAGCAGCACTTGGGCCTCGGCGCCTCCCACCCTTCCTTCTCTGCCCACCCCGCCACACCAGCTGGCGGACCTCTTCCCCATCTCCCAGGGGCTTCGCTGTGGGGCCTCTCTGGGCCCACTGCCCTCACTGGCCTGCCCTCCAGCCCGTCCCCTCCAGTAAGGCCTGCTTCCATTGCAGGGCTGACTCTACCCTCCAGCCCACTACCCTGATACTGCTGTCCCCAAACTCACCACGCCTCTCACTTGCCAGACTCAAAGGCCTTGTCCCGTCATAATCCTCATTAACTCTGGGTCCCCAGTACTGGGGTCACTGACACCTGGTTCTTCCTGACCCACTCTTTCCTTGGCACCTGCTCTTGACTGTCTGGGTCTCCCCCGGCCTCTCAACTGCTCTGTGTGGGCTTGGTTTCCTGGCCATTCCTCCTGAGTGCTCTCCCAGCTCCTGACCTTCCCCGCCTTTTGCTCTCCCTCTCCAGCCCTTCATGTCCTCAGCTGGCACCTCCTGATGACAGAACCTTGACCTGCAGTCCAGACTCACTCTACCAATCCCTAGATTTATATTCAAGTACATCTGGACATTGCCCTGGGGAAGCCCAGAGACCCTTGAACTTGATGTCTCAACAGAATTTACTTTCACACATACTCACACACCCCATACCCCCAGTCACTTGAGAGTCCCTGCAGATTACGCCTTCCCTCCTTCCCTCCACAGCCATCCGAGCTCAGTGCCATCAACTCTGCAGCCCTAACCACTCTCAGATCTGTTCCCTTTCTCCACCTCACTGCTGCTCCCCAGGGGATTCGCAACCAGTCGCCTAACCCCTAACACAGGCATCTGAGTTGGACTCCCTGAACCCCACCTTCCCTCTCTCCAATCCCTCTGCTGCTGTCCCCTGCTACCTGCAGATGAAGCCTGAATACTTTAGGACAACTTCCAAGGCGGGCCATGTTTTGGCCCCTACTTCTTTCTTCAGGTCCACCTCTTGTGCCTCCCACTTCCTCTGCCCCCCAAAACTCTAGCTTCACCCAATCTGAATGGTTCTGAACAGCCCAGCCTGCCTGGTCTACCCCCTCCTTTGCCTTCCATATTCCCTCTGCTTGGAATGTTCTTCCACCATTTGATCCAACTGTAAACACCACTCACCTTTCAAGACCCAACTTGAGCCTAGGGAGCCTTGACCCTCAGGATGGAATGACCACTTCCTCTCTTGAGCCCCAGCGGAACCCAGCTGAACCTGTAGACACTCCTACTATAATCCTGATCACACTCTATTTGTAAGTGTTTATAGGTCAACATCCCCTGCCTACTCTATATTCCTCATGGGCAGGAAAATCTCACTTGTTTTCTTAACTCATCAGCTTCTAACAGACTCCCACATATACATCCATACTCTGGGAATGCGATAGGACTACTGAGAGATGCAGTTAGTAGGAAGAGCCGATTTTTTTGAGGCAAAATGGGGTGAGATATAGAGATGTGAGTTTAATGTGATGGAGCCCCAAGATGTCTCTCAGACTTCTGGAAGGGGTACTGAAGCTCAGATGGGTGGGAAAACTAACAGAGCCATTAATGCAGAGAAGGCTATTGGAATAGAAGCTATTTTCTCTGTTTTAATTTTCTTTTATCAAAGCTACACTACTCCATAGCATAAAGCAAAGCTTTCTAGACAGTAAACACATCCCTGGGACTTAAAACCTTATATCCGAGGATGCAGCACACTGCTTCTGAAAGACTGCCAATTTCTGCACTCTCCAAGGGGGAGCCAGGACTGCCCCCTAAGTGTGTTCACCAAGTCTGGCTACTTAAACAAGTGTCCCCAGGGTCCTGAACGGGGAGGACGTCCTTGGGTACTTAAAAGCCCTGGAAACAAAGCAAAACAAAGGCACAGTGTGTGACTTCTCTAATTATTCTGATCACCCTTGAGTTCAGCCGTTGGTAGTGGCGCAGACAACTGTATGTTCCATTGGAATGATCTCACTTTCCTCCCAGACACTAAGGGAGACTTTATTTCCCAAGCACCCTTGTGGTTACTTACATTAGGTCCGTGTAGTTAAAGCTGGCCTGTAGACTAGGAAGAGGTGATGCTCATCACTTGCAGACTTGGCCACAAGTTCTCTGACATAACCCTCCTTGGTCTCTGTCCCCATTCCACACTAACCCTAGATGACACATCTTGAAGATGGCCGTGCCAAACTCGGGAGGAAACTGGGTCCCTGAATAACTATGGAGTAGAGCTCCCTCTCTCTCCTTCAGGTCACCTGCATGGCACTTTGCTATAACCAATAACCCGTTGCATTAAGCCACTGAGATGTGGGTTTCTTTGTTCTATCAGCTAGTGCTACTTACCCTGACTAATACACCATACTAGCCATGACTGACTGGGAATTCGCTCATTAATTCAGCATGTACTAAACAGCTGCTAATGGGAAGAACTATATATTAGATGCTATTTACAACTGAGGGAAGGAGAATTCACCTGCTGGACCATGAGCTTCTCAAATTCCTCCACAATCTCAGGAAAGCTAAGCCACTTGATTCCTGGCAGAAGTGCAAGGGCTTGGCTGCCCACCTTCATCAGCAGCAGGTCCATCTGCACCTGAGAGAGCAGGCCAGGGTGCAGAACCTGCCAGAGAGAGGGACAGTGAGACAGAGGAGGGACCAAGAGGGCACATTCACCCAGCCAGGGCGGGGACCCCCCCATCAAAGGAGAGCCAGGCCGGCTTCTCATCGGAGCAAAGGGGAAGTGGTCCCAACACCTGGGACTCTGCAGCCGCCCTCTCTCCCAGGTGGCTTCCCTGAGGGAATGCTGGGGGCAGCTCCTCAGCATCACGCTTCGTTAGCCTTCCTGGGAAGAATAAAGGGCTTTTTCCCCCAAAATACATTGTTTAGATCAGTGGCTCCCAAAGACTGTAAAAGTCACTGTGGGGTGCTTGGTGAAATGTGGGTTCCTGAACCACCTACTGGGGGGCTGGGGCTGGGAATCTGCATTTTCCTGAGCACACGGGGCCACTCCCATCAGGTTGTCACAGCCCGGTAGATAAGACCCCAGAGTCAGAGAACCGCAGCAGGGATGCACTGCGGTGGGACCAGGATGGGAAGAGCTCTCACAGCAAATCCCAGTCCTGCAGCTCACTCCCAGCATGAAACTGGGCAAGCTACTCAGCCCCTCAGCCCCTGTCCCATCATTCAAAACATGGAGGTATGACAGCCCATACCTCCACCTCACGTCCTTTTAGGAACACAGTGGGGCATCAGTAAATACATATAGGCAAAACGAATGCCTACCTCGAAGGCATCTACTAAAGATTAAATAATGCATCAGACACAACTGGTACAATGCTGGCATCCTCCACCGGGGAGGTGGGGGACAGGGCGCTTTCAGGATATTTTTGGTCTGGTGTTGCTCAAAAAATGCCTGACCACGAGAACCACTTGCAGCATTTATAAAAAGCCAGGCCCCTGTCTCCTCCTTGGAAAGTATGATTCAGTAGGTGTGAAGCGAGGCACCCCTGGGAGGGTTTTTCCAAGGGGGTAAAAGAGAGCATCGGGGGTACCTGCTGTCTGTGTCTGCCAGTTCCCCTGGGTTGTGCTGAATGGGGAGGGGAAAGTGTGGAGATGAGAATTGATGGAGCCCAGGCCGGAGCGACTGAAAATGAAGAGAGAAGGAAGCCACTTCGGTAAAAATGAACGCTGCCATCCCGGGCAAACTCCAAACTCTCTTCATTTTCCTTTATCAGACAGTTCACACCACCACTCCCTCAAGCCAAGAAATAAAACAGCTTGCACATCACAGGCGCTCAGACAGTGGTCAAGCTAATACAAAGCAATGGAAGGCAATGTGGGGTGATTTGCAAGGGGGCTTCCTGATCTGGGACAGCTCCATGCCGTTTGGTGAGATTTTAGAGATAGGAAGGGCCGCTGAAGACATCAGAGCACTTACTTTCACTGCCACAGGGACCAGGTGATCTGGTTCAGGTAGGTGGGCAGGTGCTAGAGCCTGAGACGCCGTTGCGTTAGATCCAAGCAGGTCAGCTGTCGGGAGGAGCAGCCTTTCTAGAAATGCCTGGTCAGCAAGGCTTCCTTGAGGCCTCCGCCCCTTCTCCAGGTGACCAGAGAGCTCTCTCAGCCCCCCAGTTGCCCCAGCTTCTGAAGAAGGCTGCAGATTGGAGGCCTTGGCGAGTCTCTGGATGCTGTCATTGTCCAGGAAGGCAGGATTGGCACGTGCTTTGTACACCTGGGCCACGCAGCCTGACCCCACAGGTTCCTGCTTCTCAAAGCAGAGGACTCTCCCCCAGTCCTCCCCAAATGCCTCCTGCAGGATGTGCTCAGTGTGAGTCCAAGGGTGTGGGGTCACCTGGACGTGCAGCTTAGAGAACTGGGCACAGAAAGCCTCTGAGAAGAGATCTCGCCGGGTGCTGGCCCACTGGCCCAGTTTGATGTATGTTGGTCCTGAGGTCTCAGTGGCTTTCAGCAGCAGGTGGAGCCAGAGGCTAGAGACACTGGGAGCCAGGTAGGTGAAGGGGTAGAGTAGAAGGAGGGGGACGAATTTCACCAAGAGAGCCCCAGCCCGGAGCCAAATCCGGAGGTACAGGAGACAGCCTAGCCTCCCGTCTTGGGAGACTCTGTCCAGGGTCCCATTTTCAGCCAGGTCACTCCAGCTGGCCCTTTGCTGACACAGGCTGTCAGGGGCCCCCTTTCCAATGTCCCCATAGACAGAGATGAGTTTGGGCAAAGTGCCAAGCAGAAGCCAACAGAGTCTGGCATTGTGAGGGCATCCAGAGGGTCTTAGAAGGCTGAGTTTCTTTCTGAGCTCAAAACCGCGTAGGTGCGACAAGCAGACCCTGACAGAGAAGCGCCAGGGGGTCACCATCCTCTCCCAGAGGTCCACAGCCTATGCTGCCTACCCTGAAAGGGCACCTACCTAGGTTCACTCTTTGGCAAGGCCAACATGAGTCCAAGGCCACAGCTGAGTATTCCACTTCAAAGTGGGGCAGCCGCCGGTTCCCACGAAGCTCACGTGCAGTCCAAGCCCGGTCCTGCGCCTAGTCCTGCCCTCGCAGGGCTGCACCAACCCCTAGGCCGCACAGCCCTGCCCCCCTTTGGCCGCAGGAGGGGCCAGCCCATCCGTCCCTCCCGGCCTCACGCCCCACTCTCTGTGGGTACCTGGCCTTGGCCTAAGGCCCGAGGTGTCCTAGCAGCCTACGCCCGGGACGGGCTGCGCGTACGGGGGCTTTCAGAACTGAACCCACTGTGAGAACGGGAGGGGCCAGGCTAGACGCGAAGTCAGGCCCAGAACGGGGACGCGACCTGCGCAAGGTGGCCCCGCGGGCGGAGACAGAGCCGGGCGGCCGCAGGGTCACCGCGCGCGCCAGGGCTGGCGCGGGGTCGCCGTTGTGTTCCGGCACCGCGGAGGGCAGGGGCGCCCAGGAACTAGGCGGGGTTGGGAGTAGGGTCGGGGAAGGGGCGGGGGTGATGCCAAGGACCGAGGCGCCTAGGGCGGGGGAGGGGAGCGGAGGGCCGCGGATCCGGGCGCCGAGAGCGGAGAGGGGTTGCGGAGGGCCTGCGATCGGGGTACCGAGAGCGGGGAGGGGCCTACGGAGGGCCGAGGACCGGGCGCAGAGGCCGCGAGGCTGGAGTCTTCCGGGAGCGCCCCGCCCGCCAGCTCTGAGACAACCCCTTAAAGCGGACGCGGCGCGGGCACCCGCTGAGGCTCACCTGGCAGTCGGGCCCTGGGTCCCAGATACAGAGTTAACGCAAAACGCAAACGTGCCTTTCTCCCTTCCCCATATGCGTGTCTCTCCACTGACATCTTTGTAGCTTTCCTTACAAAGAGCGCGGAAGCATAGAAACGCTTAAATGCGCCGCGAATGCAAGCCGGTTCTGAACACAGCTCGGGTTTTCAGTTCAGTGGGATGGAGGGTTGGAGTGGGGGTTGAGGAGGTGAGGTTGTCCTCGGACGCCCTCCCGAGTCTCAGGCTGCAACGATTTGGGGAAGTGTTCGGACCTTGGGGAGTGGCTCCTTAAAGGCCTTGTGCATTCACTCAGCTGATACTTACTGAGCCCTGTAAGTATTCCTTAAGCTGAATCTAATATGTATACCGTGCTGGGCGCTGGAAGCTTGGAAACACCGCTCCCGCCCTTACAGGCTGACCACTTATGACGGAGACCATAGAGGGGAACACATAAAGTGCAATCTCAAAGTGTGGCAAGAGCCACAAAAGAAATGAGTCAGGAGAACCAATAGGATGTGGCTTCTTTGGAGAGGAAGAGAGGCATTGGAGGTGGGAGGGTGCTCAGACACAAAGAATAAAGCCTTAAAACAGGAAACAGTTTGGTGTAAGGTTTTTGGTTTTTCTGGGGGGCGGGCTGGGGGATGTGGTTGTTTGTTTGGTTTAACCTTGAAGAACCAAAAGAAGGTCAGATGGCTCTGGAGAGCAAGAAGGAGAGAAACAGAGCTTGGAAATAAGCCAACACGTGCAGGGCAGGCCCAGTGGTCCTCTGCTGTGCCTGCCCACCCGGGGTACATACCACCGTCACCTCTCCACATACAACCCTTTATCTGCATGTGGGTGAGAGGCTTCCCAGGGGTGGTCTATGGGCCTTGCAAGTGGAAGAAGCCCCGGGGAGAGAAAAACGGGGACACAGCCCAGGCCCCCATATGGTTCCCGCTGCTGTAAGTGTGACTGCAAATCCACAGCCCTAAGAAGTACCTGAAAATGTGGGGACCTGGGCTGCTGATACAGGCAGGAATGGGGAGTGACCTTTGGCTACTCCTGCACTGTTAACTAATAATCCATTTCCCGTTTCCACAAGATGCTGCAGACCTCTTTGCAGTTCCCAAGACAGATGTCATCCCTGCCACCACTGGTTTCAAATATGGCCAGCCATTAATATCCCCTTCCCAACTTTTCCCTGATTTATTTACCCACTTCGTCCCAAAGGTGTGTGAAATAATGTTGTATACCTCTGATTCACCAAAAGGCTTATTCAGGACTTAATTTGAAACCAGAGGCCCTGGGCCCTTGCCCGCTAATCAGGAGGGAACAACGTGACCTCAGGCAAGTCTCTCTGGGCCTCTGTTTCTCCTTAAGCTAATTGGGGAAGGGAGTCCGACTAAAGCTGCATAAACCCTCTAGACTTACATTTATGATTCTGGCAATATCTTTAACAGTAGTTAAGAGCAAAATTCTTGAGCTAAGTAAGCCTGGCTTCTATTCCCAGCTCTGTTTAACCTGTGTAACCTTGGGGACAAGTTAACCTCTCCTAGAGCCTCCATGCCTCACTTGTCAAATGGAGGTAAGAATTGTACCTGCCTCTCAAAGCCGTTGAAAGCAGTAAACCAGAATCTGTGTCCCGTGCTTAGCACCACGATAAATGGTAGCAAATATTGTTATTTATGTTATCTAGATAAAAGTTGTTTCTCTTGCTACATCAGATGACAGACCTATTTTCACAAATTTGGGGGCTGCGTTATGGAAGTTCCGACTTAAGGCCTTTGTGGCACCCTTGCTATAGAAAGCTCTGAATAACTAGCCTATATTTGTTCTCATTTGGGTGGTCTTTGGTTTTTCTCCGTAGAATCTTCTCCACAACAGAAGCCAGCTAATTACAGCTAATTATAAATAGTTTCCCATTCTTGGAGCTGTTCCTGCTGGTGTTGTTAACTCGAGCATCACTAGGTGGCACCATTTGCTTGTGACGTGTGACCAAAGCTTCCTCTGGATTTCCAGCCCCAGCTGAGAAGGAATTGGGGGTGGGGGGTGGGGGTGCAAAGGCCCACCTGGCTGTGCTTCTCTTATCACATGATCCAAATGAAAGTGAGTTTAGCATCTCTTATGTAACCTTGTTACATAGCAGATGCTATGCAGGGCAAGTACTTGTTCAAGACCCTGGGGAAGGGGATGGACATATGGAATTGGCTGGTTCTGGGGCCCTCAACCTCTGCACACTTGATATTTGGAGCAGAATAATTCTTTGCTCTGTGTGTGTGTTGGGGGGGGGGGGGACATGCGACGGGGAGGGAAAGCTGTCCTGTGCACTGTAGAATGTTTAGCAGCATCTCTGGCCTCTACCCACGGGATGCCAGAAACACCCCCCCTTTCCCAATTGTGACTTTAAAACTTATCTTCTAACATTGCCAAATGCTTCCTGGGGAGCAAAGTTACCCCTAGGTGTGAACCACTGGGTGCAGCTCAGACCCTCTCAGCACCCCCACCATCCCACACTCAGTTTCTTCAGAGCAGAATATCAGGGAAGGGAAACCCCTGCACACACCTGCCAGCCGTGGCCTCCCCCTTTTTCGTCCCCCCTTGAACAGGCTCCACACCAGTGTGTCACCAGTGGGGACGTGAGCCACCTCCAAGAAAACGCCTGGGGCGCTTGTGAAACTGCAGACTCCTGGACCCCATCCCAGCCCCCCACCCCCACCCCCCGCATTAGGGTCCCTATGGGGAAGGTTAGATTCTGCTTTTTTTCCCCCCAAGCAAGGTGTGGCCTCTGAGAGGCAGGGCAGAGATTTACAGCCCATTGGAGGTCAAAGGCTGAGATCAGGATCTGGGTGGATGTCTGCAGGAGGATGAGCCCGCAGGCTTTACGTCCACTCACTGGTGCACTGGTGCAGCGCCCAGCTCCTAAGTTAGTGTGATGAAAATGTTGAAGAGGATTCTTGCCTCCCTGCTCAGGTCTGAGGAGATTGTCTAGTTGGCCGGGAGATTGGCAGGGAACTCTCCAAGAAGCAAGGGGTGGGAGGGAGCCTGGCGTCCTCAGCATGGTCAGAGCTGCCCTGTTTTGTTCCGGAATCACTGTGAGCAGGAAGGGCTAGAGCTGCTTAGACATAGAAATGTGTGCCTCAGAAAAAGAATCGGAATCACCACAGTCTCGTTCCCTGCCTGAATGGTCAACTGGGTCTCCCGAAAGGAATGTAAGCATCGCGGGGTATTCGGCATTGCAGCCCTCACACTTGAATGCTGCAGAAAGTCCATGACTTTGTCTCTGCGTTTGTCATAAACACCCCAATCCTTGTAAAATTAGGAATGCTTGAATTCTTTGTGGAAAAAAAAAACACAAAAAAAAGACCCTCCAAAGTAAGGTAGGGGCATAGAAGTGAAACAGATGGTTCTTAGGCAAAAAATTATGTTACTGTGGTATTTGCCAATTTGGCGATCCTTTGAGGTTCCCTGATAAATGTCAGAGGTCTGTGGTGATAAATGACACTGACTCCACAGCACCTCCTAGTAGGCCCCCACAGCTGCCCAGGTCCCAGCCCCAGCACAGGAGGAGAAGGCGGGAGAACACCCCAAGATTGGGGAAGAGGGGACAAAGTGATGGCAGCCACAGACAGGCCTTGAAAGCCAGGGGCGGATGAAGGGCCCTGGAGCCCAGTCTGGGCCCCGCTCCCCTTCCCTTGGGTGGCCTGTGTTTCCCTCTCCCTTCCTCTTCCATCCCACACCTCCTGGATGACTTTTGATTGGGACCAGGAGCAAACCAAGGCTGGGTTTGAGGTTTGTGTGGGATGCTTGGCTTGGTTTTGTTTCCTCAGAGGGAGCCAGCTGCGGGTTGTGGTGGGAGGGGCAGGAATTCAGTCCAGCCTTTCTAGGCAGGGAGAAGGCCAAGGATGGGACTAGCGGTGGAGTAAGAGTGGCGGGAGGAAGCCGGCCTCCTGAGGAGGGAAGGAGTAAGATGCCCATGGAAGACTGAAGGGGAGCCCTGCTGCTGGCCCCAGTGACTCCGCGGGCTCATGCCCACAGTCGGGCCGGTCAGAAGATGAGGAGGGTCTTCGCCAAGGGCAGGTCAAGGGGACTTTTCCCTTGCTCTGCCTCATCGGAATATCATGGGCCTAAGCATTGATAAATGATTCTGCCCTCCATGCCAGCATTCTAGATAAAATAATAATAATAATAATAATAATAATAATAATAATAATAATAACACAACCCAACCCCTCATTCATCATCTACTGTGTCTATACCTTTCCGCTATGCACTGGCAGGCAGGTGGCAATGAGATTGAAGCGGGTTGCTGTCAAGGGGCTGAGAAGGAACGGATAACAGTCACCCAAACATGGGTACCTGATCTCCAGGGAGTGGGGGTCAGACATGCCACAAGGAACTGCACTGCCTGTGCCTTCCAGAGTGGGGCGCGCGTAACCAGGACATAGATTGATTGCCCATCCAGAAACCTCCTCCAGAGCCCGTGGTTGGCCCCGGGCAGAGCCACTGCTCTCAGGCAACCTGGCATTAACAAAAAGAGCGTGGCGGGAGCCAGCCAGGCCTGGGTCGGTGTGACCTCCAATAAGGTGCATAACCTCCTGGAACTCGGTTCTCCCACCCATACAATGGTAGGCTTACTATTTGATCGCTCAGGCGTGTGGGGAGGATTACATGACCTGACATATGTCAAGTGCCTGGAAATGAAAAGATGCTCAGTAAACGGTTAGCATCCAAGAGGCATTTAAGTGGAAATTAAGTAATTTTGGGAGAGGTGTTCAGTCTCCTTCTCAGGCTCTCGCCCTGTCCTAACCAGGCGAGGCCTCTCCCATCGCTTGGTCAGTTTCACTTGGCTGGTAGCTGAGATGAAGCGGGCTCAGTGCTGCTGGCCAGGCCCTGGACCTAGAGGGGGTGCAGGAGGGGGACGCTCAGCTCCGATGGGGGAGAAGAAAACGGCCGCCTTCCCCCTCTTGAACCCTGAGCACCCTTGTGCCGTCAGAGATTAGGAAAATAAGTAGCAAACACGTTGACCAAGAGCGCCCCCCACGGCCAGGCCCAGGACAACACCCTCTATTGGATCTGCTTCAAACCCCACAACAGGATGAGGTCCAGGTGTATAACGTTTGCTATTTCTACCTTACAGATGAAGACACCGAGGGTTAGAGCAGAAGCAACCTGTTCCAGAGCCGGATTCGGCCGTCCGACCCAGAGCCCATGCTCCTCAACAGGAAGCGGAAGGAAGAAGGGATGGGTGGTAAGAGATGCTCTGCAGATCTCCATGGCTGTGCTAGGTGGAAAGGGCAGGGTTTCAGATCAACAAAAATCGGGCCGGCCCAGCGGCTCATTTGATTAAGAGTTGGCTTAAGAGTACGAGCTCTGAGCAACAGGGCCGCTGGTTTGATTCCCAAATGGGCCAGTGATGCTGCGTCCGAGCTGAGCTGTTGCTGAGCTGCCAACAGGTGGCAGGATGGCTCAGCTGGCACAACAACAACATTGCCTGTGCGATGGTGGCTATACGCCCACCCACAACTAAGATTGAACACAGCTCCTTGAGCTTAGAGGCCACAAGCTGCTGATGGGCAGCCAGATGGCGACTGGTGCCCTCCATAACAAAGACAAGAACAACAACTTGGCTGGTCCCCAATTCCCCAATAAAAAAAAATTTTTTTTTAAGATTTTTAAAAATCAACTCTTTCCCCCTCCTCCCACAGGCAATCTTTCCTGACTTGAGACCAGGTGCTACCTCCTACCCTGGCTCTCACTTGCCACCGTGGAGAGAAGTTGAGGACAGACAGGGAGGGCAGAGCGTCAGGAGCTGGGAGAAGAGGGGACCACCAGGAGGGTCTCCCAGGTTCCAGTGCAGAGCCCCCACCTTGGAGGTGGGGAACCAGGGCTTGGGAAGGACCAGGGGTTGCGTCAGCAGGAGCAGGGCCACATAGGGAAGGAGGGAAGGAAGCCATGTGTGGGCCCCCTGCCGGGGCCCCAGAGCCACTGCACCATCCCGGATGGAGCAGCCAGCCCTGAGGAGTGCTGGGCTGGGGGCCGGGCACAGGCAGGCAGGGGTGGAAACTCGCAAAGCACAGGCACCTGCGTGGCTCACCAGAGTCTGACCTGATGAACTTAAGCAAGAATATTTTTCTAAAACAAGCTAGTGTCCAGAACTCAAAGATGAAGGAGCGGCAGCCTGCCACCAGGGAGTTGTCACTCAGGGGCTCCCCAGCCTCCTCTCTGGCCTGCCTACCTGAGCTGTGACTAGCAATTTGGAAGCCACAAAATCGCAGGCAACTGGCCCGTTGAGTGCATCGGTTGGGGGAGGCAGCCAGCCGGGCTCTCAGCTCAGTTGTTCTCCATCTGGCACTTTTTCCACTTTGTCAGTTTGCCTCCTGACACCCCAGGACCCTGGGAGTAATTAACCCTCAAGAAGCCAAGTCTCTGGTCTTTTTGTAGAAAGTGAAATCTTATTGAATGATGCATCAGCAAACAAGACAATAATTGAAATGCTTACACTTGTGAAGTAAATGCTTACACCCTGCAGCTTTGTGTTCTAAAAGTTGACCGAGTTTAGTTGAAGTGGGTATGGCAATGGAGGAGTTTAAGGAGCTTTAACGAGCCCTAGACAAGCTCCAGAGATCTGATAGAAGGAGCAAAACCCTCTGCTAAGGAGACAGAGCTTTTTTTCCTGTGACTTTGATATCTGAGTAAGTCCTTCAGATCTCAGGACCCCAGTCTGTAGGGACTGCCTAGGCAGTATCTAATATTCGTCACGTTCTGCAATACGTTCTCTTTTTCTCCCTCTCTCCTGCACACCCCTTTTGTGGATTAGTAGGCTAAGCCTCTCTCTTCCCCTTTTTCCACTCGCCTAGTCTTTAGGCTCCTCCTTCTAGGGGCCCCTGAGCTAAAGACAAGAAATGACTTTCCTCCCGGTGTAGAGATGGGCTTGGAGCTTTCCGTCCACACCCATAAATCATCACTGCCAGGTCCGTCTCCCTTTCGTCGGGAACTCTGCTCAAAAACCTCCGAGCCCCCTCCCGCCCCCATTGTCCTCAGCATGAAATGCTCACAGCGTTTTCACATATAGTCATTTGGCAGTTTTAAATCATGGATCTGTGCTCCTTTATTGTTTGTCCTACGTAAGTGGGGGTAGCGAGCACTATAAAGTCCTTTCTCCTCTGGGAAACTTTTCCTGACACCGCCCCCGGCCCCGCGCCGGGTTTGGGAGTCCTTGTGCCCCGCGTTTAGGGCCCCTGGGCTTTCATTGTCTGTGTCATGGTTGTCGGTGCCCGAGCCAGACTGCAAGCTGCAAGGGACAAGGTGGTGCCTAGGGTGTCCCAGGCCCCACAGACGCGTTAAATGACTGAAGCGAACTGAAGGCAGGGAGTGTCGCCCCCACCTCCGTGCATCTCTCTCAAGGTCTCAGCGCCCCCGGGCTGAGCGCATCCCGCGCAGAAGTCCCGGGCCTGGTGGAGACGGAGAAGGCCACTCGGTGGTCTCCAGCAAAGAAAGGGTTAAGCCACCCATTCCCCACCCCCCAAAAAAAGGCGAGGGGAAGAGTCCGGCAGAAGGTCCTGTTTACTGGAGCTGCTCGAGTCCGCGCGGCCCTGGGAGAGGCGTTGCCGTGGCAACGGGCCGGGCGCCCGCCAGCTGCAGATGAGCTCACTGGAGCGGCGGGCGGGGAGCGGCGGGTGGGGGTCGGCGGGCGCGCGGCCGGCTCTGAGCCGCCGGGGAGAGGACCGGGCCCGCCTTCCACTCGCCCACAGCGGCAGCGGGGCGGCGGGGACGCAAGCGCAGCGCGCGCGGCTCTCCGGGCGCCGGGAGAGGCCCGGCAGACACCAGGACGGAGGGCTGCCGGCCATGGCGCCCGGGGACCCCGCCGCCTGCAGCCCCCGCCCGCCCGGGCGCCCCCGAGCTGCGCCTTGGATCCCGCGGAGCCGCTGCCCGCCTGGAGGTAGGGCCGGGCCGAGGGACGGAGGTGGGGGATGCGTGGGGGAACCGCGGAAGGGACGCGCTGGGGGACCACGGATCGTGGCGTGTGGGGGGCGGGTTGCGCTGGGGAACCGAGGACCGTGGAGAGGACGCGCCGGGGGGAAGGGAGGAGACAGCTGGAGCTGCCCCAACCCGGAGCTGGGAAGTGGCTCTTTGCAGACCGCAGACTGGGTTTCCCGTGTGCGGACGTGGGGACTCAGGCGCTGCAGCCCGACCTGCGGGACGTGAGCAAAGTCGTGCGCCGTGCTGGGTCCCAGGGGGCGTGAGTGTGTGCGTGTCCCTCACTGTGGTCAGAATTCGCAGTCTTGGGAAAGCAAGAAAGTAAAGACGACGGAATACTCTTCTTCCGCTTTGCCCCTAAGAATGGAGTTTGGAGCCTAGGGGCGTCTCTTCACACAGGCCGTCATGATATTTAGGAGGGCCACAGAGAACGGGATTCAAACCACGGAGGCGAGCCAGACCTCTGCGGGGAATCCTGGCCCTGGGACTGTGGGGAAGCCAAGCTGGGCTGTGCCCTCCAGGAGCACGGATGGGGGCAAGCGAAGTGCAGCGACCCCGCTCTAACCAGCTGCTGATGGGGAGGGCAGCTGGCGGGCCCTCGCTGACGTTGAGATGTGCCTAAGAGATGTGACTTCCCCAATGCCCCAAATTACACGGGTAATAATGGGTCCTGGGGGGTAAGGTTATCATAGACACTCTAGAGTGATTTTGGTACTAAACTCTTACACTCTCCCTGGTTACTGCATAAGAGGAAAGAACAAAATCCTTTCTGCTTGCATTAGCACATATGAAACACACCAGCGGAGTGGGTTAGAAGGTCTGGAGGGTGGCTGCTTAGGATGGAGCAGAATTCTGCCCCAAGTCAAGGACAAACAGTGACTGTTTCTGAGGAAGGGCAGTGAAGAGCCTGGCCTCCAGTCCTTTTGTTCCGGAAGGTCTGAACCGTGTCAGTGTCATGTGTTTATTGACGTACAGTCCTGTGTGCTAGGTTTTAGGAACAGTGAAGAATAAGATAGCTCCCTTCCTTCCAGGAGCTCGCCATCCTAGTTGGATAGTCAAACAAAACATTAAAACCAGCCCTGGTCTGGCCTGCCTGTGAGTGCTGCATGCTAGGGGAACCCAGAGCAGGGCCACCCAGCTCAAGGGAGGCCCACAGAGGAGGTACTGCTGGGGCTGAGCCCTGAAAACCTCTTCACTAAGAAAATAAAGTGGGGAAGGTTGTTTCAGGCTCAGGGAACAGCATGTGCAAAGTCACCCAGAGGGAAGGAGGGGGACAGGTGAGTGTGGGGAGAATCCGTGGTTGAATGGTGCCCCGAGAGGCAAGGAGGATCTCACCAAAGCGGGAGTGATGGGATGGGATCAGCTTGCCATCTTAGAGAGCTCTCCCCTGGAGCAGGAGAAGGGTGTGGCCTGGTAGCACCCAGGCCAGAATGACTGAGCACAGGATGACAGCAGTGGTGAGGTGGGATGCAAAGACCCCAGAGATAAAGAGGTGGAACCTGGTGACAGGCTCGGGCACAGGGTGAGACAACTTAGACTAAAACTTAGTGCAAAGAAGCGCAGGAGAAAACAAAGCAAAGCAAAAGGAATGGATATTTTGAATGGCCTGAATTTAGCAGATTACAACACTTGGACAACGAATTTGGCTCTAAATTTTCTGGCAGCTTAGAGACAAACAAAAATACTCTGGATTGCATAGTTTTGAATTTTGGACAACAGAAAGCATACAAATTAATTTTCGAAACAAAATTTTTCCTGGAATTGAATTCAACTGGGAATTTGTCATGTAGATCTTTGTGTAAAGACTAAAGAGGGACATAAAAAGAAAAAAAAAGTTCATTGTGTTACAAAAGATGGGGAGATAAAATTCCATATGACTGTCTTCCTATACCATCTTCCTGTTATGACCTGGGAGCATATTGTATTTCTGTGGGGGGCTGAGTGTCAGCTCAGGCTGTGAGCAGTTGTGGCACAGTGCACTTAGGGCCCCAGGAATCCTATATGGAGGAGCCATGGCCTCTCAAATGTAGGAAGACGTGACACCTACTTTGAGGGATATAGAGAACAAAGCACCCAGGTCACCCAACCCTGAAGGGTAAAGCAGGCCCATCATAGTGTGGCCCACAGGTGGGTGAGCTGAGACTCTGGTCTGGAGCGGGGGCCAGGTAGGGCAGGGCATGCTGGGAAAGATGACACTGGAAGCCCTGGCCAAAGGGAAACAGAGAGAGTGGGAACAGCATTTGAGGATTCCGGTCCGATGGGCGAGTCCAC